TATTGTCTCTTTAGATAATACTAATTTGATTAAATATCCATAAATACCGTATAATATAAAATATTAATAGTTTTTCCATGTTAGAAATTTAATTTATTTTAATTTCTAAATTCGAGAAAATATTAAATATTATGATTTAATTCAGTAAAATTTGAAAATTAAACTTCTCATTCATGTCTTAATATTATTTCATAATGATATAGTAAATGAGATATTACTTTGAATCTGACTATACATTTGATGTAAAAATTTTTTAGTCTAGAATAGACTGTCAAACCGAATGCACGTATTTTACACTGTACCTTTTTATATTAAAATTAATCACGCAATGCTATCGGAATTTATTCGCGTTTTTTTTCCATTCAACTCAGTTTTTTTAACACTGTAATTGGTTCTCGAGCCGATCAACGTGGTTTTAAACCTTTTTACACGGTATAAAGAAACAACTAATATTAATTAATTACGCGAAATGTATGTTAAACAATATTTTATTTCCTTTCTTAGGTGTCGCCGTGCGTAGTGACCATTGAACCTGCGATAATTCAACAATCTGACTCACAGGTAATGAAACATATTTAATTATATAACTAAAATAATAAAATGAAAATGAAAAAGCATACTAATATCAATACAAGTTATAGTAAAAATTTGCTCAGCAAATCTAAGATACAAACAAAATTCGTCCCGTATACACCAAACGATAATCTTATACAGAACAATATGTTAAGTGATGTCTTCAATTTTTCGGATATGAAATCAAAATAAACTAAGGATGATAATTTCGAATTTCCTAAGTTAAAAATATGTCTAAACGTAATCGGTCGTCGACAGATACACACGAATCAAAAAAACTAAAACCACTATTTATAACAGTTAACATATTCTCTACACTCTCAAAGAATGATTCCGAAATAGTACATTCCCAAAATGCTCTATCCACCGAAATAAATTTGCCCTCAATCGATGTCAAAAAAGAAAAAAAGAAAATTTCACTGCCAATCATCGTCCGTGGTTTACTGGATTTTGCTGGTATACGAAATGAAATAATTAAATTAATCGGTGCTGAAAAATTCATTTTTAAATCTTCCAAAAACAATTTAAAAATCCAACTTTAGACTCCGACTCTTATCGTAAAATAATCAATTTTCTAAGAGATAGAAATGCTCAATATCACACTTACCAATCAAAAGAGAATAAATCTTTTCGAATAGTAATCCGTAACCTTTACCCGTATACACTAACAGTCGAGGTTGGAGTAGCAACTGAAGAAATCGGTTTCACAGTCCGGCAAGTTTCCAACGTTCTTTATAAAACCACAAAACACAAACTGCCATTATTCTTCATCGACCTTGAGTCAGCCGAAATCAATAAAGATAACTTTGGCGTAATATCACTTCTTCATACTTAAATCAAAATCGAAGAACCGTAAAAACGTAAAGAAGCGATTCAGTGTTTTAATTGCTTGCTAGGTCTACGGCCACTCCAGGAAATACTGTTTTTACTCTCAGAGATGCATCCGCTGTGGAAGTAATCATTCTTCCTTTATTTGTAGTAATTTGAAAGAATCATTAGCCAAATATGCCTTCTGCGAAGAAGACCATCTGGTTAACTACAAGGGATGTCGAAATACAAGGATCTCCATCTCCAGCAGTTTCACAAACCAAAAACCTCAAACAATCATGCCACACACAATAATACTAAAGATCGTACTAATGATGTAAATACTAATAATTGTACAATAAACCAGCAGCAACCTCCTGAATCACACTCACCCCCTCGAACCTATGTCTATGCAACATCAAATCAAAATTCCAACAAAAACCTCGATAATAACTCTCTTCTAATTAATTTTTTAAGCAAATTTAAATCATTGATTAGCCCATTATTATCTCTCCTCACTACTATCCTTGACCGCCTTATCGTACAAAATGCGAAATTATACTTTTACCTATCAGTTTTTAGCCATCCTACTTTGGAATGCCAACGGTTTATCCAATCATAAATATGAATTAATTACGATTAAAAAAAAAAAAAAAAAAATAGATAAAGCACTGATTATAGCCTGATTATACGCCTCAATAATTATTTGATCGTCACTCTAATTCTTTCCAGCTCCCATTACCAATAATGATTTTCTACAAGCAGCGATAATCAACATTAAACTGAATCATGTTTCAATCTCCATTGCAGCTATATAACTAAATATTTATAAAACTCATATTGAAATTCATTAATGATGAAAAAGTAATTCTTCATTCTCAATTCGGCTAGGTTAACACTCTACTATCCACCAAATCTGTTGCTTAACTGACACTATTGCTTACTCTTCTGAAAATAAACACTACTGTTCTGTAGTTTTTCTTATGTTGCCCAAGCGTTCGACAAAGTCTGGCATACCGGATTCTTATTTAAATTAAAATAACTTCTTCCACCCCTATACTTTTTAAACCTTACTTTGAAAATCACCGCATCTTAAGTAAAGGTACTAATGAGTTTTCAAATTTAGCGCCAATTCGAGAGGGTGAACTCCAAAATGCTATCACGTGCCCCATTCTATATAACATATACGCGGTCGATCAATCAACTTCTCCACACACCTCAGTGGCTGAATTTGCCGATGATAAAGTCATTTTTACTTCGAATGGTAATCTATTCATTTTCAGCCAACCTTGATGACATGAAAAAATGGTATTCCAAATGGAAAATTAAAATAAATAACAATAAATCTTCCTATATAAACTTTTCTCTTAGGCAAGGCATTCCCTATTCTCTTTTTTCTGTCCAATAAAATGTTTCCAGTGGATTCTAATGTCAAGTACTTAGGCTTGATCCTCGATAAGCGGTTAGCTTGGGCTGAGCACATAAAATAAAAATGTCTCATACTAAATTTGAGACGAGAGTCCTTATATTTTCTACTAGGCAAATATTCTAAACTCAACTTGAAAAACAAATTATTATTCTACAAAACCTTTATGAAGCTCATTTGGACCGACGGTGTCTAACTATAGGGCGTTGCAAAAAAATCCAACATTTATAAAACACAAAGTTTTAATCTATAACTCTACATATAATTACTAATGCGCCTTTTATGTAATATATCATATATTTCACTCAGATCTTGATGTACCAACTGTCACCTAAATGGCCTTATTTTACTATAAGCGCTTCCGCTGCCGTCTAGAGAATAATTCTAATCTACTGATTTTTGCACTTGACTCAGCTAACACTCCTGAAAATCCACTAAGAAGGCACAAAAGACGCTGCTGTCACGACTTGAATTTTTAAATTAAGGCAATAAAATATGTATAACTAGGTATTACATAAATATTATATATACGTATAATTTACATAATATATAATATAGCCTAATCACGTCATTGTTCGTATTTGAGTGTTACTTCTGGGTGACTTCTCTTCTCATGTCTCCATGTCCTAATAGTTGTATATTATATTATATTATTAATATAGTTCATTATTATTTTTTTTTCGCACATATTCTCATTTTAAATATCTTTTAAAATTGTATACGTAAAATCAAATAAATTAAAAAAAAAAAAAAATTAAATTTTATTCTTATTTTCAAAAAAATGGTATTGTAGTGAATTAATAAATATTCAATTAAAATACACAATAATCCTATTAATTTCTAGGAAAAACATATAAATAGTAAATGCACGTGTGTTAAAGTTTGAAACATGTATAAATCTTCTAGAAGGTCATAAGGAAAAGCCAAACTACAGGTTTACTAATTTTACTCACAACATAAACTTATATGTTTTCGTAAAATATAACACGTTTAAATTTAAACCAAATGAAACTAAGACGCATGCAAATTATATTATTATTCTTAAGTTAAAATTATTATAGTAGTTCATATAATACGATTCAGTATTAATATTAATATTTATGCAAATAAAAGAGTATTAAATTTAAGACGTAGACATTATTGCTAGTAAATTTAATGAATCTTATATTACCATAATAATATTATATAAGTATTTCAATTAATAGTAGTAATAATTGTTTTTTTTTTTTGAATAGTTGTAGATATCATGAATTTAATTAAAATTATAATTATACATTTATAATATGTGTACTGCTAAATTAATTTTTATCAACCTCTGAATACTAAAGGAATGAGAAAATATTCTTAATTTTAGCCAAAGATTTTTGAATAAGTTATCGGGTATTAAACCTAAATATTATTTTTGTTATTGTTTGTTATATTATATGTAAGTAAGACATATATTCTGTGTTCACTAATTTAAACAAAAATAGTTAATATTTAAATTTGAACTAAAAATCCATGTTTACAGTATTCATCATCAGTAAATTTATTAACAAGTTTTATATCGTAAAATAGAATAACTTATTAGTGTACTATATTATTTATGATATAAAAGTTGGATTATATAATTTATACAATTAATTTAACTCGTATAAAATATAATTTTAAATAATCTTAAATAATTTAATAAAACGTAATAATCAAGTTGTTGTTTTTTAATAAAAAAAAGAACGAAAATATAACTGCATTTAATGTATTTTGAACATATTATACATGTTTAAACATAATACAAGTTATCAGTAACATGAACACTTTCAAAATCCTTTTAACTGTTTTTATAAATTAATAATTTCTACTCGATTTATTCATCTTTCTTTCTCCAGTGTGTTTATGTAAATACTTATATGACAGGTTTTACTCACGGTTTGGTTGTTAAAAGCTTACATATATAATTATTACAATATAGTACATATATACATTTTAATGCTTACTTCACTATAATAATTCTTTCAAATAATTTGAAAAATAACTATATTTTTATCATCACAATAGTTTTTATTAAATATAAAATACAATATTATGTGATAAAAATTAAATGTTAATACAGATGAGAAATAGACCGTAAAATAAATTCAGTATTTTTTGTAACTGATTTTTTTTCATCGATTCAAGTAGCAAGTTACTTAGTATTATTTTTCAGGAAAAAACTTACTGATAACCACGACAGCGTATAACAGAATTATAGAAACCACTGGAAACAACTCCATCACTGCCATAAAACCGCAATCATTTAAAGTTTTTCATCTGAAAAATATAACTAAATATTAGAAGTATTCAAATTTAACCATTGTTATGTATTAATTTTAAATGATTATGTCATATTAATTAAATAAATGTATGATCTATATTATATACTTAAAATAAACAAAAATAGAAAAACAGGTTACTGCAATTCTGTTGATCAATAGACATCGAATATTTGTGTGTACTTCATCATTGCTTAAGTTACTATAAATTATGTACGTATTTCATTTAAATTTAATGACAAATCATTGTATACAAACAACGATTCTAAAGGACGGTCTATCGGCTTATATTACTAAGTATTTATGATATATCTATGTCGCTATTTAAGTAATTTATTTTACTATTTGCAATATGGATGGTTGAATAAAGTTTTTGAAAACATTACATTTAATATATTATCAATATTTAATTGTTAAAATGACGAGTATATATTTATATGATATATTATTGTTATTATTTTTTTTTCAAAAAATACCGAAAATCACTATAGAATGGTGTGGAATAGGTTTATGTAAAATTAGGTGATAGTATAAAATTAATTTTAATGTTTTCAACTGAATTATCAATATGTTCAAGTCTCAATGAATAATGTTTTTGAATTACAATAAAATTAAATTCTAAGCATTTTTACTTCTTTAAAAGTCGACGACAAACAAAAAAATATGTAATAATAATACACACATCATCGGAGTAACGTCGATACATTCATCGCTCTACTCAGAATCTAAAAATGTTTGATTTTATCATTTCTATTGTGAATTTTAAGTGTTTGTATGAAATATTTACTATAATAAAAGGTTTTATTTTTATACTTGACACAGATTTGTTTCTTTGATATAAGAACTATACTGTCGCAGTCACATATTATATTATTGTTGAAATGTTAATATTAGGATGTAAATAGAAAAATGTTCATCTTATGGATAAACTTTAAATATAAAAATTAACGGTATAGATTAATACCTATTTCCAATAATGCTATATATGTATATTTAAAAAAAAAAAATAAAAAAAAAAATAGTCATTTTAAGATTACAATGAAGAGTTACAGCTTAGCAGTTTAAATCTTAAGGTAAGCAAAAAAAAAAAAATTAGAAGTGTTGAAAAAAACACTAATAAAATGTACTTTTATTTATTGTAATACAAGAAATCAAAAAAAGGAAAAATCCCTCAATAATGAAAAATATTAATAATATTATGTTCTAGAAACAAAATAGGTAACAGACAAATATAAAATGACTATCGAAAAATATCAGTACTCAACGTTACATAAGAAATTTTATTTAATTATTTATTTTTTATTTGATAGATTTTAACCTTTAGTATTATATGTGCTAAGAAATATTCAGACTATTCTTAGAAAAAATAGATCAGTAATATTTAAATATTCATACATCGACAATTGCTCTAAAAAATTTTAGAGTGTGATAAAATAGTACATAATATTATGTCATTCGCTGATTTTAAAAAGACATAATACTTAGTACACTGCAGCACATTAGCCTACCTCAAAAACTGGTCATCATAATAAAAAAATCATTATGCAATTTGCATACAGAAATAAAAACGTTAAAGTGGAAATCTCGCTATACACTATTTTTTATGTTGGTACACAAATAAAAACAAATTTAAGACGAGGTAATGAGCTGTCTCATATATTATTAAACCTAGCCATAGAAAAAGTAGAGGAGGAAGATATAATAGATAATTTAAGTATAAAAATGGATAATACCACATTTAAAATGCTAATGTATTCTGACAATGTTGTGTTTCTAAAGAAACGTGAAAAAGACTTCATAGAAATATGTAAGTATTTATTAGATATTAAGATATATTGAAGTGAATATAATTAGAATTAAACGTAAAACAAAAAAAAAAAGAAAATAATGAACAGAATATTATATCTATCACTTATCACTCAAAAAAAAAAAAAAAAACTTTCAGATTTTATGCTCACTCGTCTAGAAGTAGATAAGTAAAAATTTCAACGAGTACAAGATTTCTTATAATATTTGGGATATATATTACACAGAAAAACAATATTTTAACTAAAATTAGACAAAGAAAAATAGAAAATATATGCTATTATGATCTAAAAAACAAAATACTCAAATCAAATATTTTAACAAAAAGTTTAAAAACTCAACTCAAATGAATCCTAATATGACCTGTTGTGTGGAGTAGAAGAAAACCACGCACAGTGAATAAAATGCAAAAAATAATCTACTAACTAAAGAGCGCGGGGGATTGGAAACAACGAAGAGGTTTAGAAACTATATCAATATCTTGGAATACTGAGTGAAATAAAAATAAAAGACTTGGCATGGAACCAGATATAGATTGATGAGCCAGGGCAAGTGATAAAGAGTCGTGGTGTGGAATACGAAATTTGATAAACACCTATGGTCTTAAAGGTGGGCAGAAAAATAATAATATATATTTACCCATATTTTGCAGATATATAATCATCATGCAACAAATCAAAGTAATATTAATTTAAAACAACAAAATAGGTAACACAAATATTAATGTTGTATACGTATTATGAATTAAAGCTGATTATACATAGTCAATACCAGGTTTTACTAAGAGAAAATCGTGCAAATTGATGACCAATGACAGATTTAAATAAATTTTTTACTTATGTTATGTTTTTACTATGTTCTATTGTAAAATCCATCTGTATTTATTATTAATTTGAAACTATTTCTGCATTCTATATTTTTGTTACTAGTATATTTGTATTTATATTTAGCTATTACCATTATATTATATTTTGTCAAAAATGTTATTTTATTTTATTTTTTTTTTATTTAGTTGATAACAAATAATATACAAGTTGAGCATAATATATAATTTTTCCGTATTTCTATCTATGAACAAAATTGTTTCTTTAGTATTATGTGTTATATGGAAAAGGCGTCATTTGGAATTTTGATTTTAAGCGTCATTTAACTTTACACCGGCTATGGTGTGCTCAGTTTGATGTATATATTGTGTTAATTCAAGAACTAAGAGCATATAAGGCTGCATTATATAAACATGGGGTAATGCAGAATTATAATATTGGTTTGTAGATTTAAGAGCAAAAAATTTAAAATTCTCCTGCTATTTTTTAATTAGTTCAAATGAAATTTTTCTGTACATCACTGAATATTTGTTTAAATAATATAAAATATAAATGTGTGGTAAAGTTGTTAAGATAAATTATTACATAAAACATTTATTTAATTTTATTCACTTTATAGTATTAGGATTAATATTAAACTAGGCACATACTCGTATTATGTTTTAGGTGAGTATAAAAAGTACCTTAGTATGCAAGGTCTGACTGAAGTGTAGGAATTGGTGTAACTTTAGTACTGGTGATCCCTGATGCCTTCTTAGCATAATCATTATAAGATTACAATAATTGTTCAATTAAACGTTCCAAAACCAAGCTTTTAGAATATTTATAAAGTTTTGAGAAACGGAAAGTGAATATGGGAAAAGGTTGAACTATATTATGTATACTTTGAATACTTTAAAGAACACATTAATGTATTTAACTTAGTAATTCAAAATAGTATGTATTTACAAATTTAGTATACTTATACATTTTTGAAACTTTATAATTTATTTTACATATTATACTGTATATAAAAATTTAGTTTTAATTAAAAGATAAAATTGTTTTACTAAAAAACAACAAATTTAAATTTCTCTATTAAAATATCATTAAATAGCGAATTCCCATTATAGTTCCGCTTGATAATTCCAATCATCGATTCTTGAACAAAATATACAGAAGAAACAAACGATAAATAATTGATAACCCAGCACAGTAACGACTATTATTTTTATTATTATTATTTAATTCTATAATTCTACTCTAAAAATTTATTATACAACTCACAATTTCTGTATAATTGTATATCTAAGAATTAATTTTGTATTAATATGCGTGCTTAAAAAAAAAAAAAAATAATAATAATAATAATATGTGCTAGATTGTATTTATATTAATTTCAATCATACATCTATTTGATTTATTAATTGTTCATAATCATGTACAGAATTGGTAATAGGTACTTTACAAATTGCTTAGTATTTTAACGTATTAAAAATTATTGTTATTTTTTTCTTTATTTTTAGAAGAAATGTATAAGCTTCATCATATCATGGACATAATACGTAAAGTATATGTGATATAATAAATAAATAACATAGATCATGAGGGAAAAAGTCACTTTTAATAGCATTAATTTTTGTTTTGTTTTTTTTTATTTATTTGCTATTTAAGACATTTACATATAATTAAATATAAATAAAAATTCAATTTTTTAAGTTTTAATGAAAATTTAACAATTTTAACGTGTTAACTTCATTAATTTTAAGGTAGATTTAATAAATGGATTAAAACGAAATAGGAAAATTGTTTCTTTAAATTTTTCTTTGATACAATTAAATGCTGTTATAATAATTAGTTAGACTAGCTGTTTTTAATTAAATAACACAAATAAAAATATTTTAATTATTTATTATATTAATGTAATTAGTTTTTCTGTAATTTCTTTAAGTATTAATAATCTGTAATAAAAAAAAAGGTGGACAAATAAATAATCACTCTTCTGTACGTTTAAAGTCGAATACATATCATAATAATTATTAAGTAAATCAATGCAATAAATGTGTTAAATTTAAATACAATGATAAACCGTTATATACGAATAATAATTTTTAACGAAGATGGTGTGTTTGTGAATAATACTAACTATTAATTATATTTTAGTCACTGATTTTTATTCATAATTATATCATGAGAAATATAATTGTGCATATTAAATAAAAATATATATATAGGTAATGAAAAAAAAAAATTAAGTTCCTGAAAATATTATTTTTAAATAATAGCAAATTAACAAAAATAATATATATTTTTTTTAAATATTCAATTTGTACAGTTTGGACATTAAGTATGCGTAAAAATACAATTCTTGATTTGTATTTTTAAGATT